AAGACTGCCTGGAAGCCATAAGCCAGGGGGGTTACTCATGCCATAATCCCACACAGCTCAGATGATTCCTCTTTCACAGCTGTCACCCTCAGAGCCATGGCCCGGCTGCCACAAGCAGAGGCAGATGGCTTTAGGTTGAGAATAAGCAAGCACAGCTTGGGCAGGAGGGAAGGAAGAGGAATTTTGTCTGGCAAAGGCCTGCATCTGGACAGCTGCCCAGGTGACAGCAAGCAGGTTCAGAACTGGGGAGAGCGGCACCGGTGACTCAAAGCAAAAGTCACTGGTCAGTGTTTCTCATGAAGCATGAGCAGCTCCCTAATGGGCTCCTACTAGCCAGAGCTGCTTCTGCTTCCCTTACGAACTTCACTGTCTAAAGAGGTGAAAGGTGATCTCACAGCGGAGCTCCGGGCTCAAGCTTCAGTCCGCACGTTGCATTCCTACTCCCACTCGCTGTCTGTATTGTGCAGACTCAACAGCACAAGAAAGAGTGCTTCAAAGGCTATCCCTCAGCACAGCGTGCTGCTGAACCAGGCACGGCAGCAAAAGGAACGATCTGTCTCCAGATAGGAGAGACAGCGCAACACAGGCCGAGCTGCATTTCCCCTAATGAGAAGGCAGATGGGCCTTCTTGGGGAATGGACTGTGAGCACTTGATCCAACACGCTTCACAACGTCACTGCTTCTTGAGTTCGTATTGATGGTGCTGGGACAACCGTTCCGCGGTGCCCATAGGGTCTGTTCAGGTAATATGGCTGCAGTAAAACAATTTCCTGACCCCTTTCAGGAGGGAGGAGGATTGGGGATAAGGAGAGACCAGCCAAGCCCAGCCACCCAGCACATTTAGTGTGCTGAAGGCCTGCCAGCATCTGTAGCCACTGCAAACAAGGGAAGGATATGGCCAGCATCATATTCAGCTACCTTTGAGTCCTCAGCCTGAATAACCCAGCATTCATTTCCATCTGGAATGACTCAGGGAGGCTTTTGGCACAAGCCTTGGGCACAAACTCACACATCTGGAGCCACAGCAAAACACCTTGAGCACTCTGCCACTCCAGCCCACAGGGAGTTTATTTACTTGCGCAAGGCTCAGAGGAGAGGAAAAAAACAGGCCAACTGGTTCATTTTACTACTTAATTTTCAGATTCCTGCAGGTAAACATCCTCAGTCTAAATTTGCCCTTCACAGCTTACATTTGCAAAGGAGCCTCCAGGGCTTTGGAGCCCCACCAACATGAGATTCATCTAATTCCCTTAGGCCTACTTGCAAATCCCTGCTGACGCATTTGTTACGCGCCTCCGGATTCTAATGCCATTTGCAAGCAACTGCGAGAGAGAGCACTCTGCAGCGGTCCATGTATTTCACAAGCACGGCTACAGCCCCACGTGGAACGTTATCATGGGATTAGCTTGCACCACTCGGTCTCTAATGGCGTTATCTTCTTTCAGTGGAGGGGAACTGAGGCACAGAGCAAGACAGGGACTCTCCCAAAACCACGCAGAACAAAGCGGCATTGACACTCAGAGCTTCCTGGCATCCAGGTCTGAGCTCAGTCCTCCATGCAGTGCTGCCTGACAGGCAAAACCCCAAGCTCCTACACGGCAGGAGAACACCAAGCTGCGCAGCAACAACCAGAAAAGAGTCTGAACCTAAGACAAAGAAGATGGACCTAGATCCCACACCACAAGGGGGTCTGTGCCTGGGGTTTTGATTTGATCTGCTGTTTACAGCATGCACACAGGGGCCAGTAAATAGCAATTATCCCTCTCAGGGAGGTGCCATTAGATTCACCATACAAAAAAGGAAACTGAGGCCTGGGGAGGTGGGCTTGCAGACTAGTGCACTATGGATCTCCCACTTCACTTCAGTTCCACCAAGGAAGCCCCTGAAGAAAATTATGGGATCTGAACTTCTCATATCAGCTAACTTGGGTGTCACCAACAATGAGACAAACAGCTTGCTCCAAGGCATCCCTGACCTTAGTCTAAGGGGAGCTCCAAGCCCTTTGAAATAAAGAGATTTGCTTGAGTCAAGGGCACAGCTGTACACCAGGCTGGGAGGACAGCAATGAACTGGTGCCAAGCTCCAAGCCCATTTGCCCAACACAGGGAACCAGACTGCCTACCAACAACACAAAGGCTTTTTTTTCTTTTTTTATTTGCAACTTAGTGAGAAGATGGGATCTCCACAAGGAAAATAGTTAAGGAAGGGGGAGATTTCCCCAAGCTCTGTAGTGAACACTGAAGGCTGAGCTATACAGCCCACTTTTTGGGGAGCGAATACCCACTTGAATAGCCTCACTGGTCTCTGTGTGAACTAGGCCAGTTCAGTTATCCCAGGCTATAAAGCTGCTACTCAACCATACAGCAAATGCCCATGGGCAAACTGCTTCAGACATACCTGGTCTAACCCTCAGACCCTCTCTGGGTCTCCAGCCAGATGCCTGATAGTGGAACAGAAGTGTTACAAAGCTAGTAATCTGTTTCACAGCAGCAGTCGCTGAATTTCATGAGAAGCTTATGAGACTTAAGCCCTGTTTGCAGAACAAACCATGTGTCTGAATGCTGGGAGATCTTCCAAACCTTAGGAAGTCACCCCCAAGCCCTCAGTAAAGTGTGAAGCATGACATCCTGCAGTCTCCAAAGCAGGGCAGAACAAGGTACAGATGACCAGCTCCAATGGCTACCTCTGAAACAGGGAGCAGACCACCTTTAGCAACCTCTCCCCTAGTCCAGGTGACACCTGCTTAAATGGGGACAAGTGCTGAGTAAATTGCTGCTCAGGTGCTGACTTGGCATCATGCCTCATGGATACCCAAGAGGCTATTAGGGGTAGGTGCGATGTGCCCTTAACCAGTGGCTCATTAATCCACAGGTGAAAGAGAAAGCTGGTGTTCTGCCCCAGGATTTCCCAGGAATGTAAGATAGAGAAAGAAAAAGAAGAGTGTGATTGCCTCACCCTGGGGCCCTTTCTTAGCTCTCATGGTAATGAAAGCCTCAGGACAGGGCCCTCGGTCAAACCATGCCTCGCATACAGGATGCTCAGAGCCCTTTCAACAGTCCTCATTTTCCTACCTGATGGGGGCCCCTCTGCCCTGTGCGGGCCTCAGCAGCACGGTGATGGTGCTCTCCGACTCGCTCAGAGGTGATGGCATGTCCCCATAGTCGAAGGTGGGAGCTGCAAGGGAAGCAGAAGCGAGACAGTGATGAGCAGTCTGGACCCAGCATGCAGGGAAGCAAGTTACTGACAGTCCCAGGGACAGAAGGCTACGGGCTCTCTGGCACGACCAGTCAGACAGCAGGAGCCTGAGGTAAGCAGCACCAGAAGCAAGCATCCCTCTGGATTTCATTAATGATGTTTGCCCCTTTGTAGCACTTTCCTTCTGAGGACTTCAAAGCACTTCACCAGTGTTAAATGGCTGGGATGTATTGCCCTCCTGTGAAGCACATCAGGATCCTTGTCCCCATTGCTAAGATGGGGAAAGTGAGGCTGATGGTTTTGCCTGAGGTCAGACACAAGGTACAGCTGGACAGTGGAAGAGTCCGGAGTCAACTCCAGTCCTCCTGGCTCTCACTCTTTGCTCTACGCATCGCACCAACCCTGATCTAGTGCCAGGCTTTAGCTATGTCTAACCAAAAGATTCAGGCCTCCGGTCTCTCTCGCTGAGGTTTAAAGGGTTTTGCCAATGTGAGTAGTGCAGCATTAGGCTCCACCGCGTGTCAGCGAAGCCCACTCAGAACTTTTGGGCTCTGCCCCTCGACTCTTTGTAGGACCTTAGGCCAGTCACTTAACCTCTCTGTACCTAGGTATCCCCATTGCTTAATTACCTAGGCTCCAAGAGGAGATGCGAGGCAAAACCATCATTTTATACATCAGGGGCTGGCTAAGAGCCAAGTATTATTAATTGGACAAATGTGTTTGGACACAGTTGCACTGCACTGCTGTTGCCCAGTTGCTTGATTTAGAGAAAAAGGCAGTTAATCTGCATCAACCCATCAGAAAATATATTCAAATACCTACCATTTCCTTCAAGGGTAAGAGAGGAGCCAGTAAACCTGAGCTGGCGGGCGGTCCTGAAACCAAACCTAGGTCCAGATCTGAATGTCCCTATTTCTACAGTGGGTTGGACTGGGACCCAGTATCCTAGCACCAGTTGTGATCTACTTCTGAATTATGCAGCGTGGGACCTTTTGCACTTTGTGTTCTTCAAACCAGCTGCTTTGATGGGGTGGAGGGGTTTTCTGTGTGGTACTGAGTGGCAGGCAGATACCTAGTGGCCTGCACAGCTGCTGTAGGAGAGAACTCAGGAATAATATTTATGGCAGTGGAAAATATTGATATAATCAGAGGTTAAGGCTGCTTCCCTCACTGTTGCTATCTATTATGAGTGTGGTGATATTTGGCATTTTTTTTAAAATATCACCAGCTTCTGGAGTCATTCATGGGAGAATCTCAGCTTCAAACACACATCCACGAATTTCTACCCCTTGTAGTTGGGGAGGAAAGCTGGAAATTCAAACTTGAATGGCTCAGAAACCAGAAAAAAAAAATCACACCCAATTATAATTCTTTAAAAAAAATGTCACGACCTTTAAATAAAATGTCACATTTTCAGAGTGCAGGTTGCGGGCTAGACTCGTGGTTTAGAAAGCTTGAGTTGGCAAAACTCTGGAGTGTATTAGATGCAACTCAGGAGTGACAACAGCTCGGCAGGACCAGTGGTGTCAGGACACAAATGGGACAAGTTGAAGAAAAATGCTACATGTTCAGGACGCGGCACTAGCGAACTCAACCGTTCGGGGACACAATTCCACCTGATTTAGCACAGAGATAATCTCCAACTCAATGCTAGGGAGCATTAGGTCACTAAAGGTACCATGTTCAGCATGAGACAAAAAACATATAAAGTCAAAAGCCCTGTGCTCACAGCATTAGCCTCCATGTCCTGGCCAAATCCTAGCTCAGCTCCTATGTTCCACCTCCCTTATTTCTCCCTAAGTAGTCACAGTCTTCACTTTCTGCCCTGATATCATGCTGTGCACCACTGCACCGTTGCCATGCTCCAGCCCAGAAATGGCAGAATTTCAGAGACGGGTATAAAGGTTGGGCCTGTCACGAGGAAAGTGCAAACCCCGTAGTCACTTTGGGAGGAAAGGTGCTGCGCAGAAGAGAGATGTTCATTATTAACAAACACCACTCCGGTTGTTTTTGTTTTGTTCTGGGTTTTTTTTCCAGTAACCAGCATGGAAATGCATGTAGGCAGATCTTGCACTTCCCAATGCCATTCTCCAATGGACTCAGGGAACCTTTTCTCCCCACCCTGATACAGTCCCTTGCCCTCATGTCTCTGTCATGCCTGGAGTGCCTGATTAATTAGTAGTCACTTGGGTTGGGCTCATGTTGCTTTGTAATTTCTATGCCCCCATTAGGAAACATCTCAACCCATTCAGTGCTGTTAATAGCTACACCAAGGACATTAGCAAACAGCCCTAAGTACTGTATGGCTTGTTAATGAAGCCCAATTAATCCCTCGTTTGTACATTTGTAACTCAGATAGACTAATAGTTTCATTTCTGTAAATCTGCCCCTGCCATGTGCAATTGTTGCCGTGGTATAGGTACAGAATGATCCACAAAATGCAAGCTCATTTCTCCTTCCAGGGGTCTCCCTGGCCTCTCCCAATAAGGCTGACCGTAACTGCAGCAGTTTGAGGCTTGAACACTCTCTCAAGATGCCTGCTTGTGATAAAACCTGGATTCCCTGGCTGAACTACTGGGAAGTTCTGTGTAAGCCCCTGTGATGCCAGCACCCCAGTGATGGCAAAAACACAGCCTCACTGTCTTTGAATAGGCAGCGCTCCAAAAAAGGGATGTGTGAACTCCCAACCATTGTGAGGGCGAAGCATTTTCTTGATGTAACTGGTCCCTGCACTAGCCCAGGAGACATCAGAGACATAGCACTGCTCTCACATGTGCCTCAGAGGCAGCTGTGACGGGTGTATCAGGTCAGCAAGGTGTGAGCACACCTCTCCTTTTGGAAGAGGTAGAATTTCTCCCAGAAAAGCCAGGTGAGTTTTCCTGGGTAACCACTAGGCTGAGGACTCAAGAGGTCCAAGACAGGCCTCCCTCCTATTTACTCTAGTAGTTTCCCTTGTCTGAGGTCCTGGTGACTTCACATCACCACAGCACAGAAAGGGTCACCAGGAAAATCCCATGGGACCCCATACACAGGAGCACGCAGGGTAAAGGAGCAGCAGGTATGCAAACCATGCTCTGGGGAATCTTAGAGAAAGACCAAACCTAGTGAAAGGGTTCCCTACCCCTCTTGCAGCAATCAGGGCACACTTTATTGCTGGAGGGTGGCTAAGATCTGAAGTCTTTCCAAATAAGAACCAATAAAAAAAACTTGGCTGGCCCAGACAGTTTACACCCCAGGGTACATAAGGAGTTGGCAAGCATCATAGCTCAGCCACTGGCATGGATCTTCGAGAACTCGTGGTGCTCAGGTGAAGTGCCCAAAGATTGGAAGAAGGCCAATGTGGTGCCTATGTTCAAGAAAGGGAGGAAAGTAGATCCAGGAAACTACAGGCCTGTCAGCCTGACCTCTATTCCAGGGAAGATCTTGGCAAAATTACCAAAGAGGCCATTCTAGACAAACTGGCTGATGGCAATATCTTGTGGGACAGCCAGCACAGGTTTGTTGTGGGCAGGTCTTGCCTGACCAATCTCATCTCCTTCTATGACCAGGTGACATATCACCTGGACAAGGGAGAAGAGATTGACGTCATATATCTTGACTTTAAAAAAGCCTTTGATCTGGTGTCCCATGATCTCCTCATGGAAAAACTGGCCAACTGCTGCCTCAGCTACATCACAGTCCGATGGCTGGGGAATTGGCTCTGAGGTCGGACCCAAGGAGCAGTAACCTATGAAAGTAAATAATCGTGGTGTGCCATGACCAGTGGGGTCCCCCAAGACTCCATCCTTGGACCTATACTCTTTAACGTCTTTATTAATGACGCAGACATTGGTGTCAGAAGTGGACTGGCGAAGTTCGCCAATGACACCAAACTTTGGGATAAAGCGTCCACACATGAGGATAGGCTAGTGATCCAGGCTGACCTCAACAGGCTCAGAAAATGGGCGGAAGAAAACCTGATGGCATTCAATACCAAAAAATGCAAGGTACTCCACCTTGGGGAAAGAAAACCCACAGCATGCTTATGGCTCAGCAGTGCTACGCTTGCTAGCACCACGGCTGAAAGGGACTTGGGGGTCATGATTGACCTCAAGATGAATATGAGCCACCAGTGCGATGTCACAGCTGGTAAAGCAAACAAAACTCTGGCTTGCATCCATAGATGTTTCTCAAGCAAATCACAGGATGTCATCCTCCCGCTGAACTCAGCCTTGGTGAGGCTGCAGCTGGAGTACTGCATCCAATTCTGGGCTCCACAATTTAAAAAAGGATGTGGAAAAATTTGAGAGAGTCCAGAGGAGAGCCACATGCATGATCAGAGGACAAGAGAACAGGTCTTATGAAGAGAGGCTGAGAGCCACGGGACTCTTCAGCCTGGATAAGCCCAGGCTCAGGGGGGACCTGGTGGCTGCCTATAAATATATAAAGGGTGTGCATCAGGATCTGGGGGAATGCCTGTTCACCAGAGCACCCCAAGGGATAATGAGGTCAAATGGTCTCAAACTCCTCCGAGACCGTTTCAGGCTGGACATAAGGCAAAACTTCTTCACCGTCCGAGCCCCCAAGGCCTGGAATAGACTCCCTTCCAGGGGTGGTGCAAGCACCTACTCTGGATTCTTTTAAGAAACATTTGGACATCTATCTTGCTGGGATCCTTTGACCCAGCTGACTCCCTGCCCTTGGGCAGGGGGCTGGACTTGACGATCTTCGAGGTCCCTTCCAGCCCTAACGTCTATGAATCTGTGAACTTTCCTGCCATTCCAAGGCAAGTGGGGCACAGGATGTGGCATGAAAAAGATACAGCTCTAGGGAAATTTCAAAAGAATGCCCTTAAGACCATCTCTTGTGCTCACTGGCAGGTAAAGCCAAGTGCCTTACTCACTACAAGTGCAACTTTCCGTTGAGCACCCCTAGATGAGACTATTTTCAAAAGAGCTCAAGCTCCTGCTTACACACCCAAATAAATGCCTAGATTTTCCAAAAGAGTTCAGACTGCTGGATGTACTTTGGGTACTGAGCGGTTTAAAAAAATGAAGCCCTAGGTGCCAAGGTGGCTGCTGCTGGGTGCTAAGCACTTCTGAAAGCCTGACTTTAAGCTGTTGTGAAAATGCAACTCCATGAGCCCTGTTGGGCAGAGTCTGGAGACAGGGTGGGATCGAAACTCCTGCAGATACAACCTCTTTAAAAAATGACCCAAAACATCTCTTCCAGGGATAAGAATGTCCCAACCTTATAGTCTCCTAGCGCATTTCTTAAAGCAAGTGCCAGATGCCACTGGCAAATGGAGGCCTCATGCCTCTTGCCAATAGTACAAAGCTGCCCTTCACAAGGCAACAAGATATTGCGCTTTAAAGCTGCCTAGAAAAGCTGGCACTGGCTCCGGACTCAAGCAGAGGTAACAACGGGCAGGTAGTTGGACTTCCACAGTTGGACAGAAGAGGACGATGAGGAGGAAACCTCCCTCAGCCAGATTGATTTTATTCTCGTATAGAAAGCTTGCGATCCAGCCCACAAGCCAGGGAATCAAAGGATCCTCAACAGATGCAGGGCTGCAGTCCCCAAGTTGTACCTCTTCCAAAGAGTTTCTAACATGAGTTCCACATAGAGCCCATGTCCATCCCCTGACCTGGGGTCTCCTACAGGAGTGTGTATACCTGCAGGTCTTGCTCCCCAGGCCTCCTGCAGGATTGCACACCTGGAGCAATGGATAAGCCGCTCCACCCTCTGAATGCAAGCTGCCCTTTCTGTGCCACAAGGCCTCTCTCTGAATAACTCTTTTCCCATGTGGCCCTGGAATTTGGCTTCATCTAGATGTGGAAGTTAATTTGGATTAATGGAGGAAGAAAATGAAGCGTGTAATAGCTGTTCCTGAATAAATCCATGTGGGGACACATGGATTCTTGTTCCACTTAATTTCTGCTTTCAAAACTGACTGAATGCATGCAGAGCAAGGGGCACCTGCACTAGTAGAAGGATTTTTTTCCACAATGGCTATCCCAAAACAACTCCATGTGTTGTCTCCTGCCCCCTTCCTTTGGAAAGGCAGGCTGAGCCTGACACAGGTTGTAATACAGCTCCAACCACCTGACAGGGTTAACTCCCCTTCTTATACCATTTCTTGTTGCTGTTCGGGGGGCTGGAATATTAGCCCAATAGTAGCCAGGTGAGAGGGTGGTGGGGACATTATCACACGGTGCAGCAAGCCCAAGGCATGGAATAAGATCCACAGGCACAACATACAATTATTTATCACATACCACTCTAGCTTATCTCACAAATATCACCTAGTCCCAATCCCTCCTGCTTCTCTATCCACATTGAGAACCTTATCCCCAGTACAGGAGAGCTCTTTGAATGCTCAGGCACAGGTAAGCCAAAGACAATGCGCCATCTAACAAAGAAGCACAGTCCCTTCCCACCTAGCTAAGGCATCTTATCTATTCCACCTCAGACACCGTTTCTCACTCATGCAAATAATATCATTTCTCCAAGACCATTTTGGGAACAATACAGGGCTGGCAGTGTTCAATTTCTATCTTCTCAGCCCACCTCCTGCTAATGGATCACATCAAGGTCGCTCCAGTGAGTTAGGAAATGTGTTCCACTAGCACCACAGCCCGGGTCCGCCGCAATGTAAACAAGGCAGCTCACAAACCGCCATGCAACTAAATTATCCAGCAGAGTTGTAAAACGTAACGCACATTGCTTTCCATTTGAATCCTGATGGCAGGGTAGCCCGGGGAAGGGGGAGGGGACTTCCAGAGCATGAAGAATCCATTTCAAGGGAAGACGTATTTAACTGTGCCAGCACAGCGGGAAGTGAGGCAGTAGGGGAAGGCCATGAATGTGCATTGTCAGGCTCTGTCTGGGACTGCCACCCTTCCTGATTGTCACAGAGCAGCCTTGGCTCTCCTTGCTCTTTCCTGTCTCCTGTACAGCCTGTGGTCAAAAGGGGTAATCGTGGCAGCAAGGCATGGACAGGACTGCCAGTGGGAAGGACAAGGAAGGGTTAATCAAAACTCTAGCCATGCTTTGGTTGGTGTGAGGATGGGGATAAGGATGCTTTCCGGCTCTGCGGAAGGTTGCTGGTTAACGTGCCATGCAGAGAGACATTGGGTGTAAGTTGTTGCCATGCAAGAGTAGCTGGGCAGTCTCTCCGAGGTGAGTCGGTGGGCTGACTGGCAAGCAGGCTGGCACTCTTGGCAGAGGGGCTAATGAGTGAACACCCAGCCTGGCCTGTGGGGGTGGGCGTCCCTCCTGTCCGTCCAGGGATTACATGGGACACGAGCCTACTCTGTGAAGCTACTGCCTTTCCCCAGCACTGAAGTCCACACTTCCCAAAGCATGAGTGTTGAACCATGCATGTGGCTATTCCAGCATGCACAAGTGCATGTTGATGGTCACTGAAATATTGGCCCATTGTAGTGTGAACCTCTGCCAGCAGTAATTTATACAAGGCCCATCCTGCAGCACTGAAGTCAGAGTGGAGCTTTCCCACTGACCGCTATCTGCTGGATCATGCCTACAGAAAAGTGTCTACACTTGTGGGGGTGGGGGGGAAGAAATCAGTACCAACTTAGTAAGTAGAATAAGGGGAGAAAAAAGGATACAGGCAATCTTCGACTTACAACATTTCGAGTTACAATGTTTCACACTTATAACGTTTATAAATTGACACCCTGTTTCAACTTTCTGGCATCAGTTTTGACTTTACGACGTTTGATCTGACACGATGCCACACCAGCAAATAAGTTTGCTGCCTCACCCATCTCCCTGGAGAACATCTGTCCAAACTTCCTTGAACACTTTCTTTAGGAAAGCAGACAAGACTCCAGAAAAACCTGCAACCAAGACTCCTGAGAAGACTCCAGCCAAGAACCCTTCAAAAAGTCCAGCAAAGTCACCTCAAAGAAGTCCTTCCAAATCAATATGATTGCTATTTACAATAGAAATACATCAGTGTAGCTATATTACTCATCTATAATTGAGCGAGTACAAAATTCTGGGTTATTTTTTTATGAAAACAGGGTATCAGGCCTTGGTTCAGGAACAAATCCCCCATTTATAACATTGTTTCCTCTGGGAAAATCAGTTCCAAGTTGCAACGTTTTAATTTAAGACATGGTTTCAGGAACCAATTATAAGTCCAAGGACCACCTGTAGTTTCCGACAGGAAGTGAAGAAAACTATTCAATCCAACTGAAACTTCAAGAAAACCAAAAGAAGAACCAACTTCCCAAGGGGAGTTTGGCTATAGCATTGGAACTATGGCCCTTAAGAGCATACAGAAGTAAAGCTGCAAGGGACTTCACAAGGTCACCGAGTCCAGACCCCTGGTCAAGCCAGGACAACCTACCTCACCCATAATATTCTTACCTTACCCTTAGTGGAACCTTACCCTTACCTTGCCCTTAACAGTCTTGTGGCATTTCAGATGTTGAGCTTGTCAGCAGAAATACAGCGTAAACACAACAATCATCTTCCCTTTCAAAGAATTGGTCATAGCCAGCAGGGTGGTATCTCCATAAACTACCTGAGATATTGGTGGTGATCTCGGTCAGTGCTGTCTGGCCAAAGCCCTTTCCAGTGCGTGCCCGAACAGAGAACAAGTAGGTGGTGCCTGGGTGCAGGTTGGAGAAGACGTGGTACGTCTCATTGCGGAGCTTGGAGACAGTGCGCCGCGGGCCGGGCACATTGACCGCAGGGTCTGAAGACTCGATGCTCTGGTAGCTGATCTAAGAAAACAGGAGAGGCCATCAGACAGGTACTGGTCACGGTATGGTATGGAGAGAGTGCAGCAGGCTGGTACAACAGACAAAGCCTGCACAGTGAGTTAATAGGAGGTGCAGACAGAAGTGACCATTTTTGCCCACTCTGGCCACAGAAAGAGGTCCATAGCCATGACCAAACAAGTACATGGCTGCAGACAGCTTAAAAAATGACTGACCAGGTGAAAATCTGAACCCTTACTGCATGAGGGGTCAGATGAAGATGTTTCAAAACAAACCATCTTCTGTAACTTCTGTCTGCACTGCCTGCCAACCTGGTGCTATTTTCAGAATGGGAGGAGGGAGGAAGCAGAGGGAGTTCAGTCTGGGGGGTGGGGGTTAGCCCCTGCTGGAGGGTGGGGTGAGTGTATTGGACCCCCCCCCCCCC